TGTATCTATCACTGATAAAGTGTAATGTCATGATGACGAGAAGCATTTGTAGTTTGGATGATAATTTTAGAATACAACTTAGTTTGTTTTCAATATTTAAATATGCTTTTTTATTGTACAGAAAAGAGTCGACCCCGAAGTAAAGGCAGTTGAGCCCGAAGAGAGATCAGCCGTACCAGCAGAGATTGCAGCTGAAGAACCCAACAAGCCGATGCAAGTCCCAGAACTGATCATGTCTGAATCTGAAAAGAAAGAAGAGAAAATTGAGAAAATAGAAGAACCAGCGATGATGGCCGAAACAAAAGAAAATAAAGAAGCGCCTGCTCAGTAGAAAGAATTTTAAAAGAACCAACCAGGGCTGTAGGAGAAATAACCGAACTTGTCAGCGATGACATTCTTGTATTTTGAAACACAAAGTAACTACAAACTTAACTGATTACGTTAAACGTGTGTAACAGTAATAATTTACACAATGACACAGTAAATAATTTTGTTGCGTCTGGATTGATAATGGAAGCAATTTGTGTTTCTAAAACTATTGCTATAAGCAGAAGATCATTGCTGACTTAGTCAAGTTTACTAATAATACCTTTGTCATCATTGTCTACAGTTGTATTTGCATCTTTGTCTCCACAGTCTTGAGGTTCATTTTAGTGTTTTTAGGAGTCATGAGTGGTGTCATAGATAGGGCTACTTTACCAAATAAGTAATAAGTACCTACTCGACACGCAGCCTTACTTGCTCAGTGCAAGTATCGCTTAGTTTTAACTCAATAGTCATTGTAATAAGCGAAGTCAGCTCTGAAATAAATTGATAAGTCGATTTTGTGGTTTTATTCCTTTTTTCCCAAAAAATATTGTGTAAAAACTAAACAAGTCTCGATGGAGCCGCTCTTTCATCTCTAAAAATATTGTGAAATCTAGACAAAGTCGTGCCAAGTCTAAAGTTCCTTACTTCGATTTCTTTATGAGTATAGTTAATGTTGTCTGACTTTTTAAAAATATAGGTTTCCATAATAACAAAGTCTATCATCAATTACAATAGACCTTTGGAACATGATGATGTTGATTAAAAATTATACGAACTTCAGCTTAATCAATTAGTTAAACACAATTTAATCACTGGATATTGTAATAAAGAACCCTCTACAGACTGCCTCGTTGGACGAGTGGTCGCAAGTGCGACTGCCGGGCAAGGGGTCTCGGGTTCGATTCCCGGGTCGGGCAAAGTACTACTGGGTTTTTATAAATTCTCAGTAGTAGCACGGAGTCTGGAATTGTGCCCGGTATAGGGCAATAGGCTCACCCCCTATTACATAGGACTCATAACATTAATAGCGAAAAGTGGGTGTTACATTGTACAGTGGCATAATGTACAGCTCTGCCTACCCCTTCGAGGATAAAAGGCGTGATGTTATGAAATGAGGACCCTCTACTCATGTATCCCCAAGCGGGCACCGGTGACCGCTCTCCACTAACTACATTATAGACCTTATTTCCAATGTATAGAGACTACTTTTGTATGAACAAATTTAGGGGATGATTTTCAACGCGATAAATAAAGTTTACTGTACACCATGTTCAAAGCTGAATACATATTATTTTACCAAATATACCTACATTAGTAGAATGGTCGCAATTGCGGCTGCTGGGCAAGAGGACTCGGGTTCGATTCCCGGGTCGGGCAAAGTACTAATGGATTCTTTTAAAAATTCTCAGTAGTAGCACGGAGTCTAGAATTGTACCTGCTTATCTTTATAAGTAGACGTGAAGCAGTGTTTTGTGTTCCTTATCATACTAACATTGTGACTGTTGATTAGACGATAACTTACTAACGTAGGCATAATGATTACACGACAAACGACTGCGGCACGATTATGAAACTAACAGTACAGTGGGTACACACGAACCCATACCTTAGAGTAATATTCTAAGACCTATCAAAAACTTACAATAAAATTATCAATACTATCTACTTTTCTTTAAAAGTTGTTAAAATACATACGAGGCCTGCCCCTCCTTTGCACTACTAGTTCCGAACTTCCCCTGTCAGAAAATGTTTTGTGTTTGTCGCCGCCCATTGTGATGGACCGCTTTTCAAAATACATCTCGACACAGCTTAGCACAATACTACTTTTTTAAATTAATAGATACAATTAGCAAAAAAATAATCATAAGCCGCTGCTAGATAGACTGCTTTTCAAAATACATCTCGAAACTGCTTAGGACACTTTATTGCCGCGGAGAACCTAACGGGTAACCGGGGCTCCGGCTCGACGTGCAGGAGAAGGAACGGGGTGGTTTTTAGTCAGTATTCTTATACCTACACATAAGAAAAATCACATATTTTTCTTCACGTTTCTTCAAAATCGCATTTTTTCAATCAAAACAGCAAAAGGAACGGGTCTGATTTTATTGGTCGGGCTGATACTGAGCACCCACTCCCGGCCGCTATCCCACTACTGCCCGATACGGGGACTTTTGGCTGCTGGGTTTCCCCCCTGGCCCGGTGCGCCCCTCCTTAGTAGACCTGCATCCCCCAGACTCCTCCGGGGGATCCATATCAATACCAGGCTTAGTGTGGACGTCCAGTCAACATGGGCCACTCAGCACCAGAACCCCCGACCTCAAACCATCCTCCGGACCCGACCTCCGAGAAGCCGGATTACAGGAGTTGCCAAGCTCCCAGTCGAAAGACATGTTGAAATTTTCGACCAGTTGCTTCCAAAGTGACGTGTATTCGAACCTGTCTAAGGAAAACATATTTACATCGAACAATTCTATATAATTCACTTTTATACATACTTTTTGTACGTTTTAAAATACAATTTTCAGTGAATTTATTTAAAAAAAACCAGAAAAGATCATATTTCGTAAATTTTTACAGCGCTATCTACGGGCCATATAATGTACTATCAATGTATATACTTACCTACACAACAGCGAGCGTACCTACTTGTTAGTTATCATGTTATGCAACAGAGGGCGCTACTACACGCCGTGGTACACCAAGTTTATCACATAAACATTTCCAATAAAACACATTTCGGTACAAAATATGCAAATGATGAAGATGAGGGAGCAATGAAAGAAGATGGAGTAATGAAGATATGGAAACAATAAAACAAGTTCTTATACCAAATCAAAATACAGCAATTCGTCGGTAGCCTCAAAATCACTGATCTTTTTTAACGAGATTGAAGCTCTCAGGACTTCCATTTTATTTGTACCAGAATTTTACCAGCTATTTATTACCACCGTGATATTCCTCCTTTGCGTGTGGCTTGTAGCCATAACCCGATGGCGCCCTTGCAGTTCACTGCACCTGGCAGGCTGTGACCAACCGCCATATTTGGTTGGTCCCACAAAGTTAACGACCATTGGAGACTGCTTACCCATCTTTTTAACACTAGAAGACCACCATAATTTTTAACACTTTAAATACTACAAATAATATTTCTAAGAGTAGACAATAGAGGTATATAAACAACAATATGGTTGCACCAAAAAATCTATTTACTCAAACACTGACATTATTAGTTACACTATGGTTACACTCAAATCCATGTTTTTTTGCCAAACTCATTAACGTTTATTTTGAACAAATCGATTTCAAAATAATTTTCCTTAAAATGCCTTTGAACTTTGAAGGTTTAAAAAGATATACAGAAGATGCACATTGCACATAGCTTTTTTCTTCAGGTATTTTATAATAATTGGCTTTAGGTTTCAGTTCAGTTTCTTCCTTGGGTCCTAATATTGTCACACACTTGGAACCACCTTTAGTGTCGTAGTCTATCGTGATTAGTAATCTAAAATTACATTAACAAATCAAGTCTTTAGTTTTCGCACCCCCAAATATTATCCGCTTATTTATGAAAAACAATTTCATAGACATAAGTATTCAAATCACAGAAATATTAAAAAAGACTTCTAAAAAGCCTCTTCTTTATTATATTTGTGATTCAAATGAAGCATTTAAAACCAAAAATTGTGATGTAAAAATTATACTATTTTATTAAGTATTCAAAAAATACAGTATCTATAGATACATAGGAGCCTAATCAATATTACTCACATCAAATATAATAGTACAATGGCCAACGACAATAAATCAAAACCTGTCATCCTTTTTTCTATCACAATCGAAAGTAAATAGGAAGAGATAATCTAGCTGCAAAAACTAAACCTTTCATCTTTTCATAGAAATAGAAAGTTAAGTATATTGAAGCATACACTTATCTTGGTTGACTTCTCCTTTCAACCGATACGTATGACTTGCGTAGCTATAGGTCATGTAAAATATCTATATGCAAACTAAAGTTCTAGATCAAAAAGTTCCTTTTTGTATAATATCCTACATTCTAATGACAATGGGAATGGTAAAGAGTTAAATAATTAAAAATAAATATAAAGCATAACAAACCCGTCCTTATTAATTTACTGTAAAGCTTTAAAAAGAGTAACATAATTACCTGGCATACTTCGTACCGCCTTACGCAAATTTTTCCTTACTTTTTAAACATTCTCTGGACTTGTAAGTACAAATAATTCATGATCAAAATTAAGCCAAATCGGTCCAGCCGTTCTCGACTTCTAGCGAGACTAACGAACAGCAATTCATTTTTGTACTTATACAAGTACTGCTATTCATAATTACATATATCCAAACCTGAGTTAACTATTACCATTTGTGAAACATCTGATTCGGTCCAATAGATAATTCAGTAGTTTTCAATAAGTAAAGAATATGCTCCATTCATTACCTCAAAATAAACAAACCGTTTTCGTTTTCACTTGTCAACGATTTTCCCGTTCTATTCGATATATATCGACATCGAAATCGAAAATCGTCGACAAGCCGGTAGCACACCATTATAATCAACAATGAGTAATCTACTGCGATTAATTGATCCGTAATCATAAATACAACAACACAACATCAAAGGTCTAAAAAATATGCGCGTACGCACGCCGCTTTAACAGTTACCGTGCTCTCATACGGCATGCAACGGTCATAGTGAACGGACGTGTGTGGTGATTGTGTTATATAATACTTTGTTGTGATATATAAAAAAATATCAAGGTAAGATTTATTTGCATTTGATTGCCAAGGCTCTATTCAAAATTTTATTATCAGCATCCGTGTGATATATGTATGTGGTTTATCTTCTATGTGTGAATTCGTCGATATTATATTTTTACCACTTACATCCAGTTTTTTTGCAACAGTGTCTATATAATATAATAATAGGTTTTATTTGTATATCATTTGTTGAGATCTAATTGCAAACCGCCGCTAAGGCGTGACCGCAAAATAAAACTAGAAATAATACATAGCTTATGCATTAAAAGTATTCATAAAACTGAAACTGTTAATTCACAGTGGTTTTTCCCGCATTAATTTGTGAAACAAATAAAATCTAATTCAATCGTCTGGACTTGCCGGCCTCAGATATAGAGTGAGGTATTTTACATTTGTGGCCCGGAGGTTAAGACGCCCGCTTCTCATGCAAGAGGGTGCGGGTTCGAAACCTACCAACGGCTAGTACAATGTGATTTGTTCCGAGTTATAAGTACTTTCTAAGATTATTTAGGTGAAGGAAAACATCGTGAGTGGACCTGGACTTATTATTTCTAATTATTAGTTTGAAATCGCCAACCCGCAATGAGCAAGCGTGGTGATTAATGCTTAAACCTTCTCCATGTGAGAAGAGGCTTTACTCAGCAGTGGGCATTTATAGGCTGTTGATGATGATTTTACATTTGGAAAATCTTTGAATTACGTTTTGTTTCCTAATCTATCTTTGGTTACCTATAATTGAATTTGTCAGCCAAAAAGAACCCAAATTATATCAAACAAATCTTTTATTATTTGAAACCCCAAAAAGGGTATATTCCCACACACTGTCGTACTTCACGGCTCTAAACAGTATGACTTATACCAAAACCAATTTATTTGCCAATATAAAAACTCGTGAAAAGATGATGATGAGGATTTATCAAAACTTTTGTGAACTTTAAAAAAAAGTTGTAATGAACTTTATAAAAAGTAAAGTATATCTAAAGCACCTACGTGGATTCAATTCAATTTTTGCTATTCGAAGAACAGCTGCTAGCCGATCACGCTTGTTCCTAAACCCAGCCAAGACTCAGGGCGTGTGATCAAAGTTTAAAATACAAACGTTATAAACATCTTATTTACTAGGCCTTAGGATACATTTTATATGTTAAATAGATAGAGTTTATGGCAAGATTCTGTTTTTAGTAATCAAATTATCTACTGACAGATTCTTACGATCCTTCGGAGACTAAAAAGCCAGTAATTAATCATATTGACTTTCTTTATCAATATATAATAGGTACCTGAAAATTGAGCAAAACAAGCAAAAAAAAATAAAGGGATAATTTTCTTATTAGATACGGTCCTGCAATAACTTCATAATTTAAAATCAAAATCATTTATTTTAATTAGACAAGAATGGCACTTTTGAACGTCAACAAAAAATTTTACGTGAAGCTATTTGCTCATTCCAAGGTGTAGATTCATGTGGAGAAAACGAGCAATTTACCTCTATAGTCCAAGCTGAAGAAAACTGAAACCAAGAACGATAGTTTTCTGTCAAAAGATTCATGTTTTACTGTAAATAACTTTACAGTAATTTAACTAGACACCTTAAACAAACAAGTTTTTTAAACAAAGATCATGTGATAAATCTTGTTTTTCAGCGTATATAAACAGTGATAGCTTCCTACGTAGGTAGGCTACACATCGAGCTTTACATAACCAGTATAAACTGAACGTTAAATGTGCGGAAAGGTGATGCGACGCGATACCAGGATAAACTGGTTTCGTATAGATTGATGTGTGGCCGTGTGTACCTACTTAGTATACACATATAATTAGGTACTTAGTTCACAAAATATTTACTCATTCTAAATAACTAGAACAATTTTAAAAGTCATAAGATCGGCAACATTTAAGTAGATAGCAAAATGAGAACAATCTAGCAAATTGGTTGTTGCATTACAAATATTTATATTAATATAGAAGAACAATTTAAATACAAATATCAGAAGTATCTATTAATGGGTTTTTAAAAAAAAATCTCGTTGGTAACACGCAGTCTGGAAATGTGCCCGCTATATAGCAGTAGGCTCACCCCCTATTACATGGGACTTATAACATAAATAATGAAAAGTGGGCGTTATATTGTACAGCGGCATTCAGTGCCGTAATGTGCACCTTTGCCCACCCCTTCGGGGATAAAAGGTGGGATGTTATATGTTAACTAGAAGTTCATGGATTTTTATCACACACAGCATTCTCTTTAGCTGAACACTAGCTTTTGCTCAATAAACATAATCTATATATATAAAAGGAAGTCGTGTTAGTTACACCACTTATAACTCAAGAACGGTAGAATAGATTTGGCTGAAAATTGATAGGGAGGTAGCTTAGAGCCAGGAGACGGACATAGGATACTTTTTAACCAATACTTTTTTTTTTACTTTTTACCGAAAATCACGAACGGGGACGGGAAAAATGGGATTACGCGTACGAAGTCGCGGGCAGAAGCTAGTTAGTAATAAAAACGTATTTTTGACATACCGATGATGTTTCATACAAAATTTTGAAAAATCTCTTCTCCCTAGCCTAGGAGAGCGAGCAGACTTAATTATTTTGCATAAACGTTTAAATTTAGCCTTCTAGTTTTACCAGAGGCTATCCGTTCTTCTTATTCTTTTACCAGAGGGTTTCTTTTCCGTACCAGATCGAAATCCCTTTACCATCGTCGTATCGTATCGTCCTAAGGGCCGGTTTTTTGATAATCAGTATATTTTAACTGAAAAATAAAATTGCCATTTGTCAGTTTATATTATGAAAGAATTATCAAATATTCAAAGTTCCTCAGTTAAAATTTATCTGGGGCGTAAGAAAAATCTGCTCTTAGCTCTCTGTTCCCTATCAATCAGTCACGGAGGGCCGATTTTTCAATCATCAGTTAATACGTAACTGTGGAATAAAATTGACATTTGACAGTTATTAGTACCCAATTAGGTACTTGCCTTAATCAAAAATAAATTATTTCGACTGTTAAAACATTAAAAATTAATCAAACTTTCATTAATTGATTTTCATCAATTTTTATGTATGTATGCTGTTTGACGCTAAAAAAACGTGACGTCACAATACACAATCTCGTACAAAATTCATAGAAAGCTGTCGTTTCTGACATTTCGAAAAAAGTATTGAATTTGACTAGTTGACAAGTACCCAATTGTTACTCTGATAAAATTAAACTGACCATTGAAAAATCGGCCCTAAGTAAAGGAACAATAATACCATTTTTTTATTAAGTCATTTACTTACATGAAAATAATTTTTATTATTATCATTACGCTACGACTGTCGTATTTTAATTCATGCTTAAATTCATCCGTCTATAGTATATTTTACCTTGAAGCTAGGATAGTTCAAACAAAAACTAGGAAGCTCAAGTAAAACACACATAAGGCAATCACCTTGACTTTCATTAGCCATTATGTAAAAATGTTAGTAGTGTTATATAATGTACTGGATTTTCGGCTGTTCGCATGTGTTGAACTTAGAACATCATTTCTCTCGTTTTCAAGAGAAATGATGAGGCTTAGTAAAGTGTGGGAAAGCCATGATTCGGCACGAAAGGGCCGGCTCGATCGGTGTGATACCACGGCCTTACAGAAAACCGACGTGAAGTGAAAAATCGCTTGCGTTGCGTTTCGTCTTGTGAGTGAGGTTGCCGTAGGTCCAATTACCCCCCCCCTTTCCCTCTCCAGTCTCCCCAATCCCCGAATTCTCCACAATCTTCAAACCCCCAATTCCCAAAAGGCCGGTAACGCTCTTATAATGCCTATGGTGTTTCAGGTGTTCATGGGTGACAGCGGTTGCTTACTATCAAGTGATCCGTTTGCTCGGTTGCCGGCTTTTGCCATAAAAATAAACTCGTACTAGAGTTTGTTTTAATTTTAGCAAGATCGAATCGTTATCGTTTGACTGAATCATTGGAGTAGGTCAATCATCTCTGATTGGCCCACTGCCCCCTGATAGTTTGTTTACGTATAAAATAATTGAAACGAGACCGCATTCGGAGCTGTGATTGGTTGCTTCATTGTAGAGGGCCATCAGTAGGCTGCGCGACATTGCCGCGACCACGCATGCTTCTCATGAGGAAGAAGCCACTGTGTGGCTCGAAACTAGTAGAGCTTTTCTCAATATATTCACTTCAGTAACCCGCAATGTTTAGTTAATATTAGATATTATTATTTTATTCCACAAACAAATAATATTCCAAAAACAATAATTATAATCCTTATATTTATTAACAAACAAGATAAGAGTTAATATTGTTTCGTTTGAAAACTTTTTTTTATATATGTACAAAAAACATACTTACCTAATTAAAATGACTTCGTTCACAAAAAAAACAACAATAGAATAATGTACCTACTATTCTCTAATTTATTGTATGGGTTCATAATAGACACGTGCTTTTCTCGTTCCCTTTGTAGTTAATAAATTCGTCTCCCCATATAATTACCTCTATATTGCGACAACCCCAAATTGCTTAAGAGGGGGTCAAAAGAAGAATAATGCATCCTTTACAATTCCCTGTTCCATGTAGACCTTCTTAGACCATTAATTAATGCTGTTTACAGACCAATGCAACATGCATTCTTGCATTATTCTTCTACTTGACCCCCTCTTAAGCAATTTGGGGTTGTCACAATATATATAGGGAGGCCGGTTCCAATGAACCAACTAATCAGAGGCCTTAGTACGAGTTTGATTAACGTTTAAAGTATTCTAAAAGAGACCGCGTCCGGCGCTCTGATTGGCCGGCTCCAATGAACCAACAAATCAGAGCGCCGAACGCGTACTCGGCAGAGACGAACCTCTGAGTTTGTTTCGGCATTTATTCTCATAGTAGTCAGTTAGGAAATGTCGGCCTCATCGTTCGCTCGATTTTTTTTTAATTCTTTATATCACAAAGGTAAGTATTTAATAATCTAAGCCACACAAAACCTTATGATAAAATTGACGTG